GTCTCATGGTCACGTGGGACTGGGACTGACACAAATGAGACATGGGGGACCTCAAACACAAAGCTGGTCAGTTCCTTAAAACATCTACTAACTCAGGAGCCCTGTGGAAGAGGAAGCTCCGGAACTAACCCAAGCCAGTCCCTCCCACCCACAATATAGATGCTTTTCCCCAGGCATCTCCCTGGCCCCCAGACCCAGGCTGGCCCGAGGGGCACTGGGAATTCCGTGCACTGACTGTCACCAGAGCCTGCCTGAGATTCAAAGCCACAGCTGCAAAGGCCCAGGGGTGCGTGGCCCGCAAAGGTACCAATGACATCTCTCCTCGTCTTTGTTGCCGTGGGGAACGTCTGCGTCTCTCCCTAGGAAGCCTCTGCCCTCTTATTATGCCCTTGGTTTTACAGTCTTCCTTTCTGTTAGCTGACCATGATACACAAAAAGAGTTTTTAAAATATCTGTTTTATTTACTGATCAGGGTTGAATGCTCCCAATAGAAAACTGAAAACCAGACGAGTGGAAATGTTTAATACCTGACGTTTTGGAAGACCTAGTTTGCTCAGTCATGATCGTTCCATTACTCATCCCACCCACTGTGTCCAGAGGCTACGTAGCCCGGGCTCCCTGTTCCGAGTGGGAAATGGATGGCATCAGGAATTGCTGGTAGTGGGGAGGATTCCGATTCCTGGGCCTGGGAGTATGGTCACACAGAGGGACGGGAGCTCGGGGGAGGAAGGAGGAAGGTGCACTTGGTGCTAGGCAAGGCTCTGCCTCCAGCAGGGCAGAAGAGGGGGCGGGACATGAGGAGCTGGGACACTGGCTCAGCCATTTCCAACTCCTGCTCCTGACGCACATCTCTGCCAAGCTCAGGGCCCGGGTGCCCAGAGGAGAGCTGCCCCGGGAGCCCCAGCCCTGGGCTGCGTCTGCCATTGCTCCAGGGCAGCCACCTGCCCTCTCAGACCAGCAGGCCCCAGTGCGCCTGTGGGTGAACTCCGAGTCCCAGTGCTGTGCCTTAGGGCCAGGACCTGGAACAGGGCCCTGCAGGGGTGGGGCAGGGGAGCAGTGAGACTAGGTGCCTGGCGCCCTGTGAAACTCCTGCAATGCCCCCAGACTCCCTGTATCTGCTCCCGCTACGTCGTCACTCAGTATCCCCCCCGATCCCCCAAGCCAGGACCCGGGGAACCACTTGACTTCCTCCTCCCCCTCCCCTACGTCTAGCACCTCTGGAGTCGGATCCCCTTGTCCCCCCTGGTGCTCACAAAAGCCCATCTTTGGCTTTGCTCTGTTTGGGGAGGAGGAATGTGGGGACCATCTCCATAGCTCCCTATCCTGTGGGCGCCCTGAGCCCTGCCCCATCTTGTCCATCCAGGAAATGAGCTGAATGAGCTCCATGGGGCTCAGAAATAAGACCCAGAAAGAGCCTATTACTGTGCCTGGCATGGGACAGGCACCAGGAGAACAGCGGCCACTGGTGGAGTCAACCCCTTCTTGGAGACACGTTCCACTGCCTTCCACACTTGTCCCCATGGACGCGGCAACATGTTGACCAAAATGCTTTTCTTCAAAACAGCTGAGAGCTGAGCCCCTGGAGGGGCAGACAGGAATCTGAAGCAAGGGTTTAC